AAAAAATAGAATGCATAAATTTTAATAAATTCTTCACAGTTGAGTTCTCAATTGTAGCATAAGTATACGTATTATGTACAGAGAATAATGTTGTCATAAATATATAGTTTTAAATATAATAAGTTAAACAGTCTAATTTTATGAATTCATAAATGGATAAAACAATCATTCAAGTTTCCCAAAATAGTCCTGAAGTCTAAGATTTTCTTCCAATTTCATTCCAGGGGTCGTTTGCCCAAACCCCCCAATACATGTAGTAAAGTTATAAACCTGTGTTTAAAATGCATTTGTATTATACATTATTGTAGTTTAAAGAACATTTACTTTTTTTCATAAAATGTCCACAAGGTATAAGTGTCTTTTCAGAAATCTTTTGTCGTGCAGGTGTAAATGTGTATAAGTACATTTGTTGGCAGTGGCACAGTAATACTAAGTCATATAAATTACATTATGTTTAATATAACACCTGTACTACATTTCTATGTATGTCCTTTATACAATTACGAGTAAAATGTAATCTATTTTCCCTGCTAAATAGGTGTCCATTTTAAAACAGCACACATATCTCCAAGTTTATTTAGGTGAGAGTTAATGTTTGTCTATTACTGTGACACAGGTCATTCCAGATGACTTACTTTGCTATTTAAGGTGTCAAATCTAGGGAACATATATAGAATGAATCATAATGAAAGCATAATAAAATGTCTCACGTCCACAAACTGTGACAGTAGATGTGCCTCCGGTGTTTCTCTCACGTTACACCTCAGTATGAGTCTACAGAAACAAGGTTACACCTCAGTATGTGTCTACAGAAACAAGGTTACACCTCAGTATGTGTCTACAGAAACAATACTTAGGTTTACTACTTTTACAATGTTCATGGATCTATCACTTTTCCCCCCAAATCTGTTCAAATAAGTTCCTATTTGTTATTTTTTTTGTCTGTTTTTCTGATAATTCATATTATACAAGTTAAGAATATACACAATGAGTGTGGGTTGATTAACATGTTTATCTAACTCTAGTTAGTTAATTTTCAAACTTTAAAAAGACTCGAGGTTATCGAGTGTCTTTTTAAAGTTTGAAAAGTAACTATAACGAAAGTTAGAAAGCAGACTGATAACAAATTTTGTTTCAAATTTTTGACCTTTGAAATTCCCAATTTTCAGTTTAGTATGGCATTAATGTCTGTATAAAAAACTACCTGATAAATTCCTGAAGACAATGAATGGTTTGATTTGATTTTGTTGACCATTCTTTAAACTGCTAGTCATTTAAGGACGTGTCCCCATGAATGACATGTATGACTGCTGGAGGTGGTATGTTGGTTGTGCTTGTCTCCTTGATTGTGATAGCGTGAATCTGATGCCGGCTTTAGAGTGTTACCTAACTGAAATACCATGTGAAGGCACAAAGCATAGAATTCTGTCACATCTGTTTTCAATACTGGTTCCAAAAGTGTCATGTTTAGACAGAAGGCATACATATATAGTGTATAATGATAAGTTGATATATTAAAGAACATATATATTTACATAATATCATGGACAGCTTACAATACAGATCATTGATACTGACATGGTCTACAAACTATGTGTACCGGTCTAGCTCCTGACAATCACTAGCTCCTGACATTGATTGTCGAGAGCATGGCTGGATTTCTCTTCTCGGGTGTATTTGTTTTAGGTCTGGCATCAAATCAAACCAAACCAGAGAACAATGTATTCAGGATACTATCCCAATATTTCTGTATACTGTATAAATGTACATGTCCCTCAACCAGCAGCCAACGCAAAATCCAGTCCTATCTACATTGTATATTACATACAAAGGAAAATGAGATCTGATGTCCACTAGTGAATGTTCAGTGGAGGTCCGAGTACCCCAGTTGATTGATTCCTAAATGGAATTCACTAGACCGGCCATAAAGGAGTCCCCATTCAAACGAAAAAGATGACCAGACAACATCAAATGGGGAGACTCTGCAAATTTAATCCAGCAATCATGTTTCACCCACTAGGTGGGCAGTCATCATATTGAGTTACTGTGTGGAAAATGTTGACCAATAAAAGCACAATACACAAATTGATTATTTGCAGTTTTAGAATGTGTTCTTCAATTGAACTTTGCCTTCATTTTTGTATAATATAAATTATTGACCATGGTTTCATCAGTATACGGTCATATTTAAGTTCTTGTGCAGGAAATGACAACCAATCAGAATGCAGTGTTCTTATCGATATAATTGATTTGATCTTTGAATGAATTGTACATGCTTACCAAATTTCAAAAAAATTTAACAATATTTTAAGAAAATGATTTTGCTAAAACTTAAGTGTGATGTTGTCCAATCAGAGGACAGTATGCTACTTAATCATGCAAGGATTTCACTAATCTTCTTACTTTGTATAAAATGCAGTATATCATATAAAATTCCTATAGAAAAGTATTGGGAGCGGTATAGTATACCTTCTTTGCAGTGCTTTGGGAGTTGTAATCTGCAAGGGCCGGTGCTTAAGTTTCTGACTAACACACAACTGATAAGGACCGACTCCCCAGAAAGTGAGAATATAGTCAGTTTAGCAAATTACTTTGATATAAAAGATATTTTAAAATTATTGATCTAATATAATTTTTCACTAGTACTAGTGCTACCAGAGTACATGTAGTACATATATGTGGTCAGGTCAGTGTATCTGTTTATGTGTAACTTTCACCATTTATGGTTGTCTTGATTTTAATATGACATGTATCATCACAGCACCTTTTTATTGAAGTGGAAACTTTATACATCAAATTTACAGACAGTGAATTTATAATCAAAGGTTCTAAAGTACATACAGATTTTATGGACGATTCTAAAAATTTTGCTTAAAAGTCTTTCAACTATTTTCTTCTAAATTGAAAATAAAAGCTTGTGAGTTTCCTGACTTTTCTCAAAGTAAACGGTTGTCATCGCATGTACAATTACCGCGGCCTAGTTAAGAGACATAGCTAGGACTGGGTTGAAACCTGGTAAACACATGGCCATAATACTAATGGACTCTGTAATGTCTCCAGCCATCACTTTGGAATGTCGAGGAATGATATATTAGAAAACACGGACTGGTCACAAACACAATTTTTACTGTACATGTTATGTTAGTCTTGTATACATGTACTTCGTAGCTGCTATGTTTGACTAACTTATGAAAACTTGATTGTTCGAGTGGAGAATATAAATTCAAATCTGAACTGTAGATACTATTTTTTTCACCAAAATGACAAAATATTTTGACAGCATATGCTAAAAGAATTTGATAGCAAGCCAACTGTAAAAGTAAATCCACATTCTAATAAACTTTCTGTTTCTTAATTTGAAGAAAAAAGGATCTTCCCTGTGTATGTATTAAGAAACTCTATGTTACAGGGCACACTATCGTACCGAGGAAATGGTTTTAAATGAATAGCTTTGAAAACCAAACTAGCCTGCATCTGTATCTCACTAAATGATTAGATGGGACAATTAATGCAGCACCCATGCATTTAAGAGCCAAATTTGATCCATATGTCACCCATGGAACTGCTTTTCTATATATCTCCTAATTTCTTTTCCTTTTTACTGGTGCTAGCCGTTTGGAAATGTACAGGACATATATGTATAACCGAGTAATGAAAAGGACAGTCCAGACCTACTTGCACTCAAGTAGGAATATGTATACACAAACTTGTAACCTAAGCGTATGGAGGGTGTTTGTGTGTATAAACAGTTAAAATTATAAGCAGTAACACAAAAATAGGCCATTTTTTAGCCTACTTCCCTCCCCTCCAGGTCTGGTGACAGCTGATAAGGACGGGAGAAGCCATATTGATTTAATTATTTACGTATACATGTATATACGTTGTAGGGTTTCTCTGATAACTACTCTCAGCTGTTTAACATGTTGGTTTAGAAGAATTCAGAACAAAAATAAAGTCATGACATATTACATTATAGCACACCTTGTTAGCTTACAAAATTAAATCAGGTGAATGAAACTAGTACGCACATTCACATTAATTACGGAAAATAAAAATATTTCCATTTTTCACATACATTTATGTTCTTACATGTAAGAAGGGAAGGTTTAGACAAAACTACAAAACAGAGGTTGAGGCTCTAAAATATATAAACTTTATTTATTTATAACAATCATGAAACAAGTTATTTCAACTTATATTATCAGTACTTAATTATCAGCTTGCATTTTGAGGTTCTACCATTTAACAGTACAGAATTGGTGTTACTAAATGCTTTTAATCACAATCCTGAATTTATCCGCTTATGTGGGGTTTTTTTGCATTCTAATAGTTGTTTATAATTACACTAAACAAGTTCATACAATAATAATTTGGTCCCTATTTAATCGTGTATCGATCATGAATTTGAACAATTATCAGGATTATAATATAATCATTATTGCTAGAACGTCCTATCCTTGCATCTCATGTCAATTCTTGAGAACAGATAAAGCATATGTAGTACATGCATATATATATACTTGTACATTAACTCGTGTCGCAGTTAATATCATGCAGTACAATCAAATCAATGCTAATTTAAGTCTTCAAAATTTATTAGTAAGCTCTTGGACATTCACTATGACATCCCATTTCAAAGTTAAATTCCTACTTGTTATAAAGGCGTGTAACTTACACTGTATGTACCGATATTCAGATAAGATAATAGAACATGCACATGTTGACCACTTCATATAAATATCAAATCTGGTTTTATTCCATGCAATATTCATGTAAAATGCATCAATACATGAATAATTATCTATTTTTAATGTTCCTCATCTATACCTAGATTCTCCATAAGTTACGTTACATAAATGTACACCACTGTCACCAGCTCAAGGACAAATTTAATCAATTTGTAATTGAGATCATTCAATTTATTTCGTATTTAACAAATAAAAATATTTGAATTATAGCATTAATTACATCGATATATGAAATAATTAAAAGACAAGTACCTGGTATGATATTCCATAGATCTGTATTACACCCAGTAAATCACTGCGTCGTAATTGCGTAACAACCAGCTGTGTGATACTCCGTAACATGTGTACACCACGACTGACAACTCGCTCGCATCATCCAATACAAACAAGATAACTCAGATTAAAGTATAGGGGGTCAATGCAAGAGAGCCATGTTTTTTCTCCTCTGGCCACTAAGGGGTCAAGGTCTGAAAACTTCAGCTTGTTATTAATGGATGTTATATGTTACAAGCTTAAGCCATACATGTACATATATATGGGGTCAAGACCTTCAGCTCAAATCTCAACATGAGACTGCATGGTCCGGGAGTGGGAAAACTCCAACAGGCCTTCAAATATTGCAGACAATATTCATGATCTTTATGCAAAATGACATTTGTTATCACAAGACCTGCCATTGTGCTATAAATCAATAGAATTTATAAGTTGTACATTATATTTACTTTCAAATTCTCTGTAATAAGCACATCAGAAAAAACAATATTTCATTTATTTTTTTTATTCATAAAATTACAATTTTTAAAACTTTCTTTTATTTGTATTAATGATGATTTTGCAATATTCAAGATAGATCACCTAGCCTGTATTAGTCGACTCTTGACTTTATATGGATTCACAAAAAATATGTATTATGTACGACTCAAGACATTTCTTAACTTGAATTTCCCCCTAGTATTGCAATCATAATTATCAAAACAGTGCATACATCATCAGTTTAATGTGCTCGAAACTTTTCGATTGTATTCAGGTTTGAAAATGAATTATTAGGGCAGTCACAATATATCTGAAAATCAGTATGTCGTATTTAATACACAGGCATATTGTATTGTATCGCAATACAGAGATAAAATATTGTTGCATCTACTCAATATTTTTTAAAAGCTTAACTTTTTCTTCTGCTAGGTGTTTTAACTTTGCAAATTATATTTATTTACAACACCTTCTGAAAGATATGTCAATAGAACTATAAACAAGCTATTATCATAATGTAGGGGATCAGTTGAAATTTCATAATCGATAATTGGTTCAACAAAAATCTTAAATCCTTCGATTGAACTGACTGTTAAATTAAACAGAGCATTTTGATGATGGAAACAGTCCTACAAATCAACTTGAGATTTCTGGAAATCATTAGAACTGCAATTGTACTACAATAACTTGGGGGCTTCCTTATAAGGACAGGTGTCCTCATCACATCAAATACATACTCAATTATCACTAGCTTATTGCTCTTTGAATATTGTATTGTTTAAATAGATATGGCAAGATCTTCTGGAAAACTTTAATTTAATCTCTGAGAAACTTGATGAGGAAATTTTATAGTTTTTTCGCAAATCTTGAGGTTTCAATTTTGAACAGGCAATATTGTATGAAGTTTTGAGGTGTATGTATTACAATAAAAGCCTTAATGTTTTGCAGTACTCTAAATATTTCACTTCATCATAAACATATATGGCTATACTGTGGTTGTACTGCAGTTACGGTTAATATTTTTCTACCTGATTTTTGTTAATTCTGCACTGTAATTAAAGTAACAACTTCAAACTAACCAGACTGAATAACTCGGTCCCGACGGTGATTTGACAACACAAGGATATAGTAAGCTCCATTTAAAAAACCTTGACAATTCATGCAAATCTTTATTTACAGGCTTTAAGTATTTAAATGAGCTATTGAAGCTTGACATTTACTATTTAGGAGATTGATTTCATGTACAAAAAGGTTATTTTGACACTGCCTATTGACAAGAATATGATAGAAAGCTGCCAAATACAATGCTTTCAGGATAATGTCCTTGGCATACAATGTCCCGTATAGTAGGTTATACACATGTAGTTTACTACAGTACATTTCTGTATCGGATCAGTATACATTATACAAATATATCTCGGGTCCATGCCAGGGACATTCTTGTCAGAAGTGGCGTGACTTTTTCCAGCACCGTACTAAAGGTCCTACATTTCGACCTAATATTTAAAACTAAGGAAATATTTGTAGAACTTATTATATATATGCTCCAATCCCACTTAGCTAAATGCAATGTACGTCAAACCAAAGAAATAGGGATTATATTGAAATCAACATCTAACCCGCAGCTAAACACAATATCAAACCAAAGTTAGGACAAAAATATACTTATCTACATTTTAACTCACAACGCTCTCCATTTAATATAAAAAATATTTATACATATACAATTGTATTTTCAGTGATTTTTATACTCTTTTTCACAGGAGTCCGTTGTTTTGGTAAAATATCACCCACAAAAAGCATGATTTTTGGTAAAATAGAATGATTATATATTATTGCATTGATTTTTTGGGAACATCAGAAATTACCCAGGGGAAGGGGGCCTCAATAAGGCCCGGGACTGCCCTTAAAAACATATATATACATCTTATATGGTAGTACTCTTCATGGTGTAATTATTAAATGAGAACTTGAACGTTGAATTTCTAGTACTACTGTAAGAATAAAATCAATTTGGTATAATTACTTCTGATTCATTATAAATAAGCCAGTCTACCAAGGTGTACATGTATGCACAGAATAACTAATATTTTCAAACATTTGCAAACAATGTCAAGTATATATATATATATATACATGTATATCTCTTTAGGAAGGACACTCCAAATCTGTCACTATCATTTCTTACTTGTAAAACCAGGAAGGACCCTCCAAATCTGTCACTAGCATTTCTTACTTGTAAAACCAGGAAGGACCCTCCAAATCTGTCACTATCATTTCTTACTTGTAAAACCAGGAAGGACCCTCCAAATCTGTCACTAGCATTTCTTACTTGTAAAACCAGGAAGGACCCTCCAAATCTGTCACTAGCATTTCTTACTTGTAAAATCAGGAAGGACCCTCCAAATCTGTCACTATCATTTCTTACTTGTAAAATCAGGAAGGACCCTCCAAATCTGTCACTATCATTTCTTACTTATAAAATCAGGAAGGACACTCCAAATCTGTCACTATCATTTCTTACTTATAAAATCAGCATGGTCCGTGTAAACATCTCTCCTCTTATTCCTAATTAATTGATTCATTACATAGAACAGCTGAACATTTCATGAATGAAACAGTTGTGAGAAAAGCAAATGGAGTATTTAAAATTAAGATTCAAAGATTAGAATAACATTAAAATAAGGATACACATTATTTTACACATATACATGAGCTTTTGACATGAAAGATGAATGAGAACATAAGGTCACTAGTACCAACATGTATATAAATATGGGGGGGGGGGGGGGGGGGGGCACACATGTCCATTATTTTCAACTAACAAATAAGTTATCAGATATGTTGTAAACTATCAGTAGACTTTGTGTTGATGACATGGTACTTTTCAAACAGAGAAATTCAAAAAGACCAAATCCATTTTCGATATACTCTCACTCATTAAATAGTGCAGAAAGCCAGCAGACAACCTAAAAATGACCCAATTTTTACTTGAAAACTTAAATGGTAAATGAGTCAACAAGAATCAAATGCAGTTTCCTAATCAAATTACAATTCATAATTCTCCTTATAATTAATCTTACATGAAACTGACTGCTGCATTCAAAGTTACTGGGATTAAGGCTATTATTAATCATGAATGATGATTAACATAATTTAAGCAAAATGAAAATACGTTGTATGACTCACCAATGACAAAAGACTTGTATAAAACATGTTCAGGGATTTTGCCAGCTATTTAGGGAAAGGGCCCCTGAACAGAAATTTGGAAAATATCACTGGCATTTGGCATAAATTGGGAAAACATCATCAGTGTTTCCAATTTGTGAGAAAAAAAATGTTTGAAAAAAACAACCTGAAATCTGATTAATATTTTTTTTCTCGGTTTCTTATGTAATTACAGCAACATTTATTTAGATTAATAAACACATCAGTTTTTTGGTGTTTTTTTTTCTTTTAATTTGTAATGTTTATTATTCGATTTTTAAATTCTTTATCACGGACGGTAAACTTTTGAATGTTTACATATTATGACTGGAAACTCATATCAACATGATTTTTAATCCAATTGGGAAAATAAAGACAAAAAATGGTCAAATGGGTCCCAGCTTGTTGTAACGGACCCTATTAACACATGACAATGGAAATCAAAAGAGGTCCATAGGGTCTGTATATATCTGATATCAGGTTTTTTTGGTTATTTGAATCCTGGTCCAATTGGTGTTATATTCTTCTTTCATGCAATAATTTTAAAGTCCCAAAGATCAGTACATTTGATGCTTATTAGCGAACTTGAGGTGCTGTTTACAGGTATAACAGGTATATATGGACATTAGGTTGGGATATCAATCATTTCTATGTAATGACCTTGAGACCATGCCCTCAACTGCTTGTTTGTATATCATACTGAAATACCAAGGCTTCTGACCTTATGATTCTTTAGATGTTATTTTAATTTATAAACATATTAGATCCCTGTAACCTTGAAAGTAGGCCAAGGTCTTTTTTTTTTTTTTGATGCTGGGTCTTTTGTTTTCATAACTCACTCAGGTTTAAAAGCAAAAATTGACTTTTCGGTTAAGGAAGAATATAAGATGGCAAGATGAACTAAAATATGTTTTCCTTGGTTAGATAAATGTGTTGAATTGGCAATGGAAAGAACACGAGTGAAATTAAAGTCATCACATAAAACAATGTAAATTTCATTTTTGAAAAAGGAAAACTCGGTTTTACAAACTCAAGAATCTGGTCAGATATCTGTGCAGTCTAACTTAGAACGTCTTCATGAGTTGCATTCACAAACTGAGATGTGTACATTATGGCGTATTCATTTTTCAATATTTTTGTATTGGAATATTGTAAAAAACAGTAGAGTTCTATACATAACAAATACATTTTCCCTAACGTTATCAGTTCATGAGCTGAAAACGAAGTCATCATGCGTTGCTACTTGTATCAAGAACACTTTTTATAACATAACAGTAGAAAAGAGACAACGACGCATGATAAAGAAAAAACAACATCATTTAAATCGATTATAAACTAAAACTATTTAACACTACGCAGTAAACGACATATACAACATCCGGTAATGACACTTGTTTACTAAATACCACGCACTTGGCCGGTTTCATAATATAAACAAGATCCCCGTCGGCGCCCCTGCATAATGTGTATGAAATACGACTCGTGATTGTGGCGGTTCGTTTTTAGCCACAAATATGTAACCAAAACAATCCATTTCTAATGATGCTTTTGGTTTATTATGGTACTTTTACATAATATA